TAGTCAACTTTGATAGTGGTGATGCTCCCATTTTCCCTTTCCACCTCCAGCAAGGTAGGCAGCATCTTTTTGGTATTTACTTCAACCTTAACATGGGCAGAGTTTATGCTGGTAAGATTTACAGTCCAGTCATCCGTTTCTTTTGGTTCACCAATTTGGCCAGCAATGTGACTGAGACCCTGGCGGTGGATCAAGTTAAAAGGAACCTAAAGTGTCATTTTTTACGTCAATATATTGCATGTCCCCTCTGCTAAAAAAGGTTTAGATTCAATTCAAAGGACCAACACATGATACTACAAATTTTGTCGTTAGATTTTCTGTTCCGATCGAGTTTAAATATGCGTGGTATATCAGTATATCCTAATGATTTGTAGTAGAAATGTTAACAACTATGTTTTTATGCGTTGTTGGAACATGGAACTGATCCCCACACCATTTCTTACTGGTGACACCAAAAATAACATTTTTTATGTTATTAGTGAATATAAGAAACTATTGGAATCTGAGTATGCAAGCATCAGCTTATCTAAAAGTAGTGGCAACTGACTCATATAACCGAAGCCGAATGATGAGACTTAGATCATTAGATAGATATAACATTGGACTTAGATAAATCAAATTCTGTATATAATCATTAGATATCGGATCGAATCGATTAGACAATGGATTAATAGGCAGTAATTTATTTAGTAATTAGTACACATAAAAAAAAAAAAAAATATATTTTCAAATCACCTAAATGCCTTGTAATATTATGTTTCGTTACACATCCTAACAACTTTTTGTTGTTCTTAATCACATATTTTAATAAAAATGTTACGACACATTAGTTAAACTAATTACATTCTGACATGAACAAATTCGAACTGATACTCTATTTTATTTCCGATCAAAACCAAATCCTGCTGTTTACAAAGAGTTTTCATATGTAATTTCCTAGAGTTTCCAATGAGTACGAATTAATTTATCTCACTCCGTAAATGATACGAAATTGATAATTAAAAACCTGCCGAGGTATAAAGGAGAGTGTAAGATGAGGAAGTCGAATAATGTAGCAGAGACGACACTGACTGGGCTGAATGTTGACACAAAAACTGCGCCTGGTCATCTTTATTGACCATGATGCGACCACTGTCGATATTGCTTGTCCCACTATTCCCTATATTTTATTTTGCCATGAATATCAAATCATGTTTTAAAAATCATTTATGTAGTCAAAAGAAATCATATAAATCACAATATGAAAACGTACGAAAAAGGATTTAAATGAAGGTTAGAAGGTATATATACTAGAAAATTTGAATTTTGGGTTTATAATATGTTTATAATCTGAAAAAAAAAACATGTTTTAGGATAGGATTTACGATTTGATGTTAAATTAAGCCCAGTAACATTTCACTTGTTTTATAATTAGTACTCCCTTTGTTTCTCTATATAGACCATTTTAGCAAAAAACACGAAGATTAAAAAAAAATTTATTTCAAAAAGT